AGGTCATACAAGACCCAACGACATGTAAGCAAGTTACCTTTGGGCCTAAAGATCATGTCATTGGACTAGCTAGGCCCAACAAGCACGATTTGAAACTTTCGGGCCCCAAGATGGTGTATCGACGTCTGGTGAATTCTCACGTGTGTATTGACTTCTGGTGAATTTCCACATGTGTATTGACTTCTGGTGAATTTTCGCGTGTGTATTGAAGTTTCGCCGTGTATTAATTTTTGATTCGTTGTTGATTCGAGACCGAATCAATTCGTTTGATAACGATTTTGGTGTTGAAGGTGTATTATGTTTCGTCGGTAGTCGTGGTACTAGTATTTTATCATAACGGATTTATTGGTTAAAACATTAGGATTTTCTTTTTGCAACTCCTTTCTTTTGGATAAATTTACAATTTTGACCCTTTGAATAAAAGAATTTCTATTTTAGTCCTTAAACCATCTTTCTTGACATTTTAGTATCAAAACTTGTTGAAAAGGTATTTTTCAGCTCAAATTTATTTGAAAAACAGTTTTAGTCCCTCAAAATGAAGTTTTCTCAGCTGAACCCTCTATTTTCGCAAGTTTTACACTTTTGGCCCAAAATAGAATTTTTTTGCATCTTTGGTCCCTTTTAAATATGAAAAGTATTTTTAACCCTTGAAATGGACTTGGAGCACTAGTAGTCCCCTGTTTTACAGAAAAGTACAGTTTCAGCCCCTCTAATTTGAAAATCTCGCAAATTGGGCCTCATTGGGCCGAAATGTTCATTTTTGGCCCATTATGCCTAAAATTTCACATTTTAATCCTTCAAAAGAGTATATTTCCAGAAAATACATTGTTGAAACTGTTTTGACTCATTTCAACCATCAAAATTCGTATCTTGTCATTTTGGGCCCTTTAATTTTATATTTTTCACATTTTGAGTCCAAAAATGGGGTTTTAGCCCAAAGATGTTCATATTAACCAACTTGGTTATTTTTCTAGAAATGATTTGTGTGTAATAATGCAACTTATATTAGTTTCATAAAACCTAATGTAAATCTCGGTTTTAAGGACTTTTTGACTAGATCCAACACCACAATCACATAAGAGCATAAATATAAACATAGAAATCACACAAAGCATACATGTACTCATAGATCTACACATTTGCTTGTATCCCCCCTCCCCCCCCACAAAACTTATAAAAACCGAAAAATAGGGGGTATGAAGCTCACCTTGAGTTGTAGTTTCAGTTTTGAAGAAGAAAAGAGAAGAGTTTGTTGCTATTTTCGGTCCTAGCAAGTCTCTTGAATGGATCTTGAACTTAGAGGGTTCTAAGATACAAGATCATGAATTCATATGAGTTAAGAGGAGATTTTTGATAGAACAAAGAGTCTAGAGTGTGGATCCAAGCATCAAGTTACCCAAGATGATGATTTTTGTGAAGAATCCTCCTTTCAAAGCTCTTGAATCTCGAAATTTTTGAAGGGAAAGTGAAGGGATTTGTGGTGTGTTCTTGAGAGTGTTTAAGTGAGTGATTGTGTGTGGGTGTGTGATACTCTCGGCCGAGAGTATAAGAAGAAGAAGAGAGAGAGAGAGAAGTGAGAGGATATGCATGGAAATATGTGAGATATGCATGGATATCCCATAGGTATTAAGGAGGTGGATAATCCTCCTTAATTCTCAATTTTTTTTAACTTGGGCCGAGAGATAGAGGGGAGAGATGGAGACTTGGGCCTTTGATTCTTAAATCCAATTCATGGGTGTTTTTCGACCCATTGGACTCTTAGGGTGCCTCATGGCCCAATTTGGTTCATTTAAATAATTTATTTCATTCTAGGCCCAATATGGCCCAAAACATTGAAATAATTGGAAGTGGGTCCAATTAGAGCCCATTTAAAGGTTCTAGGCCCAATATAGTCAAGTTGGAAGCTTATTGGCCCATTGGGCCCAATAAGGAAGTCCTAGTCCAAAATGGACCTACACAAGTACTTATAGGGTTTCCAATTACTTGTTGACTATTTGAAATGCTTGTATGGTGTACTTGATTGAAATTTTTGTTGTCGTAAGGTAAGCATCATGCATGCTCTTAAGTTTTTGATTCAAAATTCTCACTTAAGTGTTGTAGTTACAAGGCACAAAATTTCTAGTTGTGACAGACTCTCCTACAAGACAGTTGTCATCATTGCCTGTAGATAACATGGAGCTATCTGACGATTGTTTATTGATGTTCTGAAGCAGGTCTTCTTTCATTTGACGGAAATAGGTCTTGATAATTTCATCTTTTGATGGAGAGGAATTTCCTTTTGCTTTGATGGAGTTTAATACCCTCTCATAAGGATTAAAACTATTGGATTGTTCCTTATGGGATAAAAATTCTTTTTGTGATTTATATTTCAAAATTGCTTGATTGATATTATCAATCGTTTGTTTAGAATTTATCTCATTTGAGATCGGATCTTTTTGTAACATCTTTGCCCAAAATTTTGTAAGATATGACCTTTGTAAAGATGGGAACTTATTAGGACTATAATCGACTTCTGGGATCCATTTCCAAATCCAAGGAATTGAGAATTCTATGAAAAAATGTAGAGTAGGTATTACTTCTCTTCCCCCATTGGAATGTTCAAGAGCCTCCTTGTATTTAGGAGCTACATGTAGCCATTCAACATATAAGGATTTGAATGGTTCAGGTAGAATTTGAATACTTGGACCATATGATGTCCACCATTGTGTAAACCAATTTGGCAGCTTTTGTTTATAGACTTGGTCACAAATTTTGAAAAACCAAGAATGTTTCCTTTTTGGATTTTCATAAAGAAAAGCTTTATAAGAGCTATCGATATAATCCCAGAAATTGTATTTTATTAAGATTTTTTGTTCAGGGTGGAGAAATTCTCTTTCCATGAGGGTGCTTAAACCCCATTCCTCTGCAGATATAATCCTTTTGAATATTACTTTGCTGAAGTTATAAACTTTCTTGTCTGCTGAAGAGGAGAAATATGAAATTTCACATGTACCTGTAGAAATTAGAATATTTTCATAATAATTTCTTTTATATATATATATATATATATATATATATATTATTTGTTTAAAACTACATTTTTAAAATAAAAAAATACTTAAAACACATTTTTTATATTTATGGTTAATTAATGGTAGTTTAATATATAATATAATATTATAATGAATAATTATTATCTTTAGGATATATTTTTCATAAATTAAAAACTAAAATAAAATAAAATGAGAGATGAGGGTCGAAATAAGACATATATGTGTTACATCATTTTGGTGTAAATGAATAATATAATACCAGATTTGGTGTTATATTATTGGTTCACACTAAAATTATAGGAAATAGAGTGGGGTAAAAGAAAATCCATTTGGTGTAAAGATGATTTTTGGTGTTTGGTTGGAGATACATTAGTTAAAAGATCTTCGAAAAGAAAAAAAACCATATCGACTTTGATTTTGGCAGGGTTTAAAACAAAATATAATAAAACTCAAGTTGAAGAACCCATACTAACTTCTTTTATCCGAGTGATATTAGGTGGTGGAGAAAATCATTTTAAAAAAAATTATTGGCAGAAAAGTTTTTAGATAGTCTTAGATCACTAGTTCAAAACATATCCCATAATCGCCGGTTTCAAAGTAGTCTTTGATTAGCAATATTTTTAGTTTTCACTTTTATTCGTGGATATTCATTAAACTTACCATTATAAATAAGTTTTTTTTAAATATATATATATATATATATATATATATATATATATATATATATATATATATATATATATATTAAATAATTGTTTTCTTCCAAAAGCAACATTCATGATTTGTTTTTGAAATTTCTAAGATTTTTTTAAAGAGATCTTTTTACTTATGTCCAAAATGTTTATTTTCAAGTGTATGATATTATCTTTTTATTTTAAGCACTTGTAGCATATATGCTTCTCATTTACTTTGTTTTTTCAACAATTTCGAAATTATTTATCTAACTTTTTTACTTATTTTTTAAAAAGTGTTTTTTGTTAGTATGGAATACTTTATTCATACTTATTGATTATTGTATAAAAAAATTTATTATATGTAACATTAAATTACGAAATTACGATTAGTTTACTTAATATCCATTTTTTTCGTTTAAATAAGGTGTGGAGGCCACAAATCTAACTCATATATGGCGTATTTGACAAAACTAACTGGAAGTTGGAATCATTAATTTTTATTTGTTACATGAGTGTTTGATAAAAATATTTTGAAACTTTTGAAATGTATAAAATTACATAGAATGACACATATCTAAATGATAACCGTGAAAAAAAAAAGAATGCCAATGTTATAATTTTCAAAATCTAGAAATGTTTCAATGTTCCATTACAAAATTGCAACGTAAAAATTATTCATATTCCCATTAGTTATGTTTAAGTTTTACCAATTATATAATGTTACGAACAAATTAAGTTTTATATTAGTGATATGTTTATACTTTTACAAGTTATATATTGTTATGAAACAACCAACTCCTACCTACAACCTATTTATTCTAACAAAAATCTTTATCGATCGGAAAAAATATATTAAACCGAAACAAAAAAATCGTTTAAAATGAAAACGGGCCAAAATACAAACTGGCCATGAGACCCGACTTCAGCAAAAAAACTATTCCGAATGGTCAAATGACAAATTGGGCTAACTGTAGCAATTTGAAGCCCTCACAGCCCGAAGTAGTTGGGCCTTCGCTGGGCCGGATTGTGCTTTTCTACAGCAATAAGGAACAAAATAATTAAAAACAAAAAGAAAGTTTGCTTGGGGAGAAAGAATTGCAAGGGTTCCCTTAATTACCCTATTCTTCGTTCTTCAACTGCCCAAAATCGATTTCTTCATCGTGACATCGTCTCAGATCCTCTACTCACCGGAGGTACACTACCGGACCTCCATCCTGCTTTAATTCATTTCTCTACGAAAACCGTCTGCAGGGATTCAAATTTCTGCTCCCGTTCTCTCACACTTTTAAGATTTAGGGTTTTAGCTTCTGATATCTTAATATGGAGCCGGAGCCAAACAATAATGCCAGCGGTAGTGGAAACCCCAAAGAAGAAGCGACTTTGAAGGTCCCATCGAAAGATCCTAAGAAGAAAGATGATAAGAAAGATGAAGATCTTGTAAGTGCTCAGTTATTTTATCTATCTATTTATGTATTGAAAATTTCTGATTTTTGCGTTTAATTGTTATAGTCAGAGGAGGATTTGGCGTTGAAGCAGCAATTAGAGCTGTATGTTGAGAGGGTCCAGGATGCCGATCAAGGGTTACAGAAGGTTGCTCTCGAGAGCATGAGGTACTAATATTTTGTATCGATGATGTTTTTTGTGATTTTTTCTTTTTAATAAAAAGGGGCACTTCGTGGATTGTTTATTTGCTAGCATTGTTGGTTCAGTTAGGTTGAGATCTGTTAGCTACAACGTCCGAGTGTCTGAATTGTCCTGATTGTAACTGTTCTGTTTGTATGTTAAAATTCTTGATGTTATTCTCGGCTAAGCAGGTGTAAGTTAGGATTATGAAGTTTACATAATTACGTTGAAGGCCAATGAGAACTTGGCCTAACATAGTCCTGAAAGCCTACCACGTTTTGAGCAAGAGCAAACTAAAACATTGTTATGATCGGTTTGAAAGGATAATTTGCAGAGTTCATTTGAAGAATGTGAGACTACTACTACACATGGTACAGTGAAGTAGGATAAATCTACATTGAAGGAACTTGAGGAAAACTTTCATCATTAAGGCATTATCTGGAACTCTAAAATGTCAAGTACTTAACTAAAGTTAATGCTGAGAAATGCTTTAACCTTTTAGATATTTAAAAACCTTGGAATAGAAAAAGTTGACCTTTTCCCAGTGGAGCTGAATGATGATCATACGTCATTTTTTTTTCTGTTCTTTTCATGCATAGTTTGATCGTATCCTCTTATATAATCTCAGCAAACTGTTCCACTGTTATTGATGTAGTGATGTCTGAATGGCTTATTATTTGTTCAGACTGGATGTTTTGTAAGTAGGTTCTAGAAGTGTTGGTGGACAGATTCTGTTTTGTTTGAGTTAGGATAACCGAGTGGAATTTTAGAAATGTTACTAATGATCTTTTCATAGGTTCTGGAAGGTTTGTTTTGATGGCAGAATTGTGGGTCATAATCTTTTATAAGATGTGTGAGTTTGTTGAAGTGCATCACGTTGCAATACACAGTTTGGGATGTTGGCTCTATAAATGTTACATGAAGGGACTCCTTCATTCTTCTTATCTAGATTGTTCCATATAATAACTAGTGTGTTATGATATATTCATATTTAGTGTTGATTCTTGAGTGTGGATGTGGGAATGTTTTTGCAATTCCTTATTTTCTTGTTCCTTGAAGTGGAGTGGTTTAATGCATAGTTTAGTGATATCTGTTTTTTTTTTTTTTTTTTTTTTTTTTTTTTTTTTTTGCAAATTGCAGCTCAACTTGTGACTTAGACTAACAATATTATTTGATTATTTGGTTGTAGGCAAGAAATTCGGACATCAACCAGCTCTATGACTTCAGTTCCAAAGCCACTGAAGTTTTTACGCCCACATTATGGAACTCTAAAATCATTTTATGACACAATGCCAGTTTCAGACTTAAAGGCATTTCTTTCATTCTGTAGCATCCTACTTCCCCATTTCCATGCAGAAGTAACTTGCTGATAATATATACTTTCCTTTGTTGATGCAGAAATTACTTGCTGATATTCTTTCCGTTTTAGCTTTGACCATGTCTGCAGAAGGTGATCGGGTAAGAGATTTAGTTTGCTTTATGACATGTGATGTGATTTCCATTGTCTCAAGAGTTTCTGCTGTGTAGTGCTTGATGCTTTTTTGTTTGCTAATAATATTTTCACACATTTCAGGAGAGTTTAAAGTATCGCTTGTTGGGTTCTGAAGGTGATATTGGTTCATGGGGTCATGAGTATGTTAGGTAATCACCAATAAATTGACAAAATCTACATCCATAAGCAAGAAAACAAATGTTCATTGACCCTGCTGTTTCATCTTTGTAGGAATTTGGCTGGTGAAATTGCACAAGAGTATGCGAAAAGAGTGGTATAATTCATCTTTATTTTTTTACTCACTATTAAATAGAATAAGCATGCCACTGCAAGTGTAATTATTTCACTAATCTTGATACTGAAGTTAATTGATTTATTCAGAATGAGGAGGCATCTGTTGATGATCTGATAGAACTTGTGGAACAAATTGTTGCTTTTCACATGAAGGTATTCTTTACTTGGTAACTATTTTTCTTGACATACCCAAACTTAATCTAATCGTTTCCTCATTGCAGCATAATGCTGAACCTGAGGCTGTAGACCTTCTCATGGAGGTATTAATTTCTTCAATCTTTTTGACATACTTGTTATGAAGAGGTATATGATTCTTAACTGTGGTTAAATTCAGGTTGAATTTCTTGACCTGCTTGTGAAGCATGTGGACAGCACAAATTATAAAAGAACCTGTCTGTACCTAACAAGTTCAGCAAGGTAAACTACCAAGTTTAAATGAATCATTTTCTTTTGTCTATTTGTTGTTTAAAACTTAAACTGTCGAGCATTCTTGTTTTTATGTGTAGTTTCATATTATGTTATGTACTTGTTAATCTTGAATTGTATTCTGCAATTATTATATGTGTTAATTAAATGCTTTTGTACATTTGTAGATACCTCCCTGGACCAGATGACATGTCAGTTTTGGACATTGCATACACAATCTACACAAAGTTTGAAGAATATCCAAGTGCACTTCAGATTGCACTTTATCTCGACAACATGCAGGTTTGCATTTCATGTTCATTGGAAATTGTTTTTTTTTTTTTTGGTTGCTATAAATATAATCTGAGATGTTACCTGATGAATTATTATTATCTTGTGTTTTTGATTAAGTCCATCCTTATCTTGCCTTTTCAATTTCTTCACCATTCCATTTCTTCCATCCAACCAAACACCTGTGCATTAAAGTTAGGGTGTATGAAACTTGGATGATTGCAATGTCTAGATTTAAATCATCTTGCTAGGAAAATTCATAAAGCTTGTTCAAGAAAAAAAATATTTGTGCTTGTATATTTGGAGTAATTCCATCTGATTTTATGGTTTCTGTACTGATACAGCATTGGATGTTTTTTGCAGCATGTGAAGCAGGTTTTCACATCTTGCCCTGATCTTTTGCGGAAGAAGCAGTTTTGTTACATTCTGGCTCGACAAGTAAGTATATGACTTACATTTTGTCAGTAGCTCAGCTCTTGTTTTTTTAATCTCAGACATCAAAAAATTGTCTGAAATAATATTTAGATTAGATTATGTTCCATTTACATTTGGAGTGGTTTTCCTTGTAAAAAAAGCTTTCTTTTGAGCAAACACCGTGTCGAGTTATTATTATTATAGATGAAAAAGGTTCAACTTGCTGAAGTAGCATTTTGATGAGGTGTAATTCATGTTGTTACATAATGCAGGGAACAAGTTTTGAGCTTGATGAAGAGATGTGTGGGGATGATGACGAGAGGGAGGCTTTGCAAGAGATTATTAACAATACCAAACTAAGTGAAGGCTATCTTACCCTTGCTCGAGATATTGAAGTCATGGAGCCCAAATCTCCTGAAGACATATACAAGGTTGGATTTCATCATTTATTTATAATTGATAATTGATAACTAATAATTAATAATTAATAATTAATTTCTTTTTATTTAGGCACACTTACTGGATGGGCGGGCAAGTGCTGGTGCAAGTGTTGATTCAGCCAGGCAAAACCTGGCAGCTACATTTGTGAATGCTTTTGTAAATGCTGGCTTTGGTCAGGTATGTATTTATTTTTCGACTATTTGTCAAAATAAAAATAATACACAACATCTAATCTAATAATTTATGTTTCTCTTTTCAAGGATAAACTAATGACAGTTCCATCTGAGGCTTCAAGTGGTGGCTCTTCTGGGAATTGGCTTTTTAAGAACAAAGAACATGGGAAAGCCAGTGCTGCTGCAAGTTTGGTATGCTCTTAAGCAGTAATTTGTTTATTACCCAATCAGTTTTCTCTGCTATGCTATTATTGGCTAGTTTCCAATGCCTGGATACTAAAAACGAAAATAAGAAAGCAAAAATCCACCCAAGTCTAATTGGGTTGGTTTTTCAAACTATAATATGTCGTAAGTTGGTTGTGTTTATATGATTATTATAGGGAATGATCCTCCTTTGGGATGTTGATGCTGGGCTTGCTCAAATCGACAAGTACTTTCATAGCAATGATAATCATGTGATTGCTGGTGCATTGTTAGGAGTTGGGGTTGTCAACTGTGGTATCAAGAATGATTGTGACCCTGTGAGTGCTTTGCTTTTTTCTTTCCGACTTGTTTGGTTGTTGGTTTTTGGTTGTGATTTTATTTTCGTTTGGGTTGGGTTGGTTCAGGCGTTGGCACTACTTGCTGATTATCTGGATAAAGAAGATGCTTCCATTAGAATCGGAGCCATAACTGGTCTGGGCCTTGCATATGCAGGTACCCAGAATGAACAGGTAGGTTGTCCTTCCCTTATTGTTGACAATTTACACACACACAGTCACACTGCTAACAGTTGTGTTTTTTTTTTTTTTTTTAATCTTTTCAGATCCGTGACAAGCTGACTCCAATTCTTGGAGACCCGAAAGCAGCGTTGGATGTGATCGCGTTCACAGCAATTGCATTGGGTTTGGTATATGTGGGTTCGTGCAACGAGGATGTTGCTCAGGCCATAATTTTTGCACTGATGGACCGCAGTGAGTCAGACTTGGGGGAGCCTCTCACGCGACTATTACCTCTTGGCTTAGGTCTTCTTTACCTGGGAAAGCAGGACAGTGTGGAGGCTACTGCTGAGGTGTCCAAGACTTTCAATGAAAAGATCAGAAAGTACTGTGATATGACCCTGCTATCTTGTGCCTATGCTGGCACAGGAAATGTTTTGAAGGTTCAACACTTTCTTGGTCAATGTGCCCAGCACCTGGAGAAGGGTGGTGAAACTTTTCAGGGTCCAGCTGTACTGGGTATAGCCATGGTAGCTATGGCTGAGGAACTAGGCCTTGATATGGCAATCCGTTCGTTGGAACATCTTTTACAATATGGGGAGCAGAACATCAGAAAGGCAGTTCCGTTGGCTCTTGGTCTTCTCTGCATCTCAAACCCAAAGGTAGCTAAACTCTTAATCGATGGATACTGTACTAGCCAGTTTTGTTATATCATTCACCCACTCATTTCATTTCATTTGATCATTTAAGGTCCACGTTATGGATACGTTAAGTCGACTCAGTCATGATGCTGATACCGAAGTGGCAATGGTAATTAATTAATATTTAATAATCCATTTTTATGTATTTTTTTTTTATTTTTACCAATCTATTTCTATTGAACCACCTGTTTTTGTTTTTGTTCTTGTTCTTGTACAGGCAGCGGTGATATCTTTGGGCTTGATAGGTGCAGGAACCAACAATGCTAGAATTGCTGGCATGCTTCGGAATCTCTCAAGTTATTACTACAAAGAAGCCAGCCTTCTCTTCTGTGTAAACATCTCTCTCTCTCTCTCTGCAAACTCTCACCCCACCACTTACTTGTTCATTGAAGAATGCTGTTTTAGCATCCATTTGATATTAAAACTTGCTTGTTGGTTGTAGGTGAGAATTGCTCAAGGTTTTGTACATATGGGGAAGGGTTTGTTGACTCTTGCTCCTTACCACTCTGAACGTTTCTTGCTATCCCCGTAAGTATAGTAAAGTATAGGGAGCGATTCATGAGATGATTAAATACATGAAACAATGATTTTTATGAATTATATATATATTGTTGGCAGGACGGCACTTGCTGGGCTTGTAGTATTACTCCATGCATGTCTTGATATGAAAGCCATCATCTTGGGGAAATATCACTATGTTCTCTACTTTGTAGTATTGGCTATGCAGGTTTGTCTTTCTTATCTTGTTTTTTGAGTTTGGAGGAAAGTTTGTTTGATGAAATGATTCAAGTGTAGACTTACTTTGCTTAAACAATTGACAGCCGCGGATGCTGTTGACGGTGGATGAGAATCTGAAACCTTTATCTGTGCCTGTTCGGGTGGGGCAAGCTGTTGACGTTGTGGGGCAGGCAGGGCGGCCCAAGACCATCACCGGGTTCCAGACCCATTCCACTCCGGTCCTCTTGGCTGCTGGTGATAGGGCTGAACTTGCAACCGAAAAGTATATTCCCCTGTCTCCCATCCTTGAAGGTTTTGTTATATTGAAAGAGAACCCAGATTACAGGGAAGAAGCCTAGCTTTGCTTTTGGTTGGCAACATGCCATGTTAAATTAGATTTTATATCTTATGTTTTCTTCTCTTCTGTGAATCATCTTCATATCAACTTTTGTATACCCTCCCTCACTGACTATTGTTGTTTTCTTGCTCTCTCTCTCTCTCTCTCTCTCTCTCTCTCTCTCTCTCTATATATATATATATATATATATATATATATATATATATATATATATATATATATATTGTCATGAATTATCAACTAACCCCCACCTACAACCTATCTAATTTAACAAAACTCTTATAAATCTCAAAAAAAAAAAAAAAAAAAACCAAAAAAAAATTAAACCAGACAAAATCCGAATCCAAACCATCTAAATTGAACAAAAAGAAAACTTAGAACATACTCCGATCCAAAGGAAAGACCTGTCTACCACAAATTCTAGTTTAAAAGAAAAAAAATGAATTCAAACATTATTAGCAATCAGCATGCCTACCATGATTAAAGGGAAAAAGCGAAAATTAAACCGACAATTGGGCTAACGTCACCAATTAGAAACCCTCAACCCGAAGTAGTTGGGCCTTTGTTTGGCCTTTTCTACCGCAATCAGGAATAAAAATAATTAAAAATGAAAAAGAAAGCAGTCGCGGTGTGCTTAGGGAGAAAGAATTGCAAGGGTTCCGCTTATTAACCATCCTTTCCTGCTTCAATTCTTTCGTCTAAGAAAACCATCTGCATTCTGCAAGGGAACTGATTCGTACACAACACTTTTTTTCCATATACAACAATTTGTGCTTTAAAGTGTTGTATTGTACAACTTTCTAATGCATAAATTGTTGTGTACGGCAAAAAATTGTTGTGTACGAATCACTTCCCATTCTGCAATCTGGGATTCAAATTTCTGCTCCACTTCTCTCACCAATTTTAAGGCTTAGGGTTTTAGCTTCCGTTATCTACAATGCAGCCGGAAACAAAACCATAATGCTAACTCTAGTGCAAACCCCAAAAGCAGAAGCGACTTTGAAGGTCCCATCGAAAGATCTTAAGACTGAAGGGAATGGTGCTTGTGTTAAAACATTGCCAACATTGTCAACTCACATTTTTATGGACACCTAAACATAATATGATAATACGGGGTAATATGATGATACAGGATGATGACTCAATTAGAGCTGTACGTTCATGATGTCTCAAGGGTTACAAAAGGTTGCTCTCGAGAGCATGAGGTACTAATTTTTTGTATCGATGATGTTTTTGTGTGTTTTTTCTTTACTTAAAAGGGCGCTCTTTGTGGATTGTTTATTTGCTAGCATTTTTGGTTCAGTTTTGTTGAGATCTGTTAACTGAAATGTCCGAGTGATTGTAACTGTTCTACATGTATTAAAGTTCTTGATGTTATTCTCGGTTAAGCAGGTGTAAGTTAGGATTATGGAATTAATATAATTACGATGAAGGCCAATGAGAACTTGACTTACCGTAGTCATGAAAGCATAACACGTTATGAGCAAGAGCAAACTAGAATATTGAATATTTTGCCGACTTCACTCGAAGAATGTGAGCCTACTACACATTGTACTGTGAATTAGGATAAAGTCTACATTAAAGGAACCTTTTTTTTTTCGTTGTTTTTTTTTTAAATTATATTTTTTTAACTTATATTTTTATTCATAATACTAGATAGTAATGTATTTACTTACACCTTGCTACGTTAAGGAAAAAGTTAAATTACATTATTTAGTAGGCTTGGGAATTTTTTCGTGACATGTGGCCTATAAAGTGCGAGGAGGTGGACACCTAAACTAAGCAAAGCAAGATCAAAGATGTGATTGATATATACCAGGATGTGAGGAAGATCGTCAACAATATTTTTTGTAGGCATTTATAATGTTTTTTGATCCTATAAATTTGTTAAAGGGAAGATCGCATAATTTTTTGTAATCACCACACCAGGCTCTGTCGGCCGTCTTCAACCGCTCTCCACCGCCATCCGTTCCATTTTTAACACTATTTGTCTTAGATAATGTTATCAATAATGTGACATGATAGAATCAAATTGTTCCATTTATTTATCATACATTCTAATGGACATTCATGAGTTTGAATCTTAGATTCACCACCGAATGAAATGTGGGTCCATATTGTTTGATCTCTACTGTAAATGAAAAATCAATAATATCTTATAGAAGACGCAAGGTAGATATATACACACAAAAAGTGAAGTTAAGAGTAACATCGTTGGAAGGTTAAGTAGAAGGTAAATACTTAACAAAAAATTTATATTGATACTTGTGTTGAATTTTTATTGGATCGTAGGAGTGCGGAATTTAATGATGCCGGTGTTAAGAGGAACATCGTTGTAAGCGGTTATTTTGAAATTGTATTTACTTGTGTTAAGCGATTTTCATTTATGTTTTTAAAATAATTTCAGAGTAATCCTTTTGATTTGAAAAGGTTGCGGAATTTGTTCCCCAAAACAAAACATGATAAAACAATGTTTACCAAAACATTTCATAAAAGAAATGTATTTTTCATTATATAATCAAAACTCGGGTGTCATGTTCCGATACAGACCAATAAGCATAAACGATAACATTACAAGTCATTCAACAAATATATACATATACAGACTTGTAAACAAAACAACTTGATGGTTCATCCATCTTACGCCCTTGCGCCACTTCCTGTAATACAAATAAAACTGAGTGGGTCAGGCTTGGGAGCCTGGTGAGCATATAGGGTTTTCAACCCACAATAAATAATTAAATTAATTATTATCAACCAACAATAACCCAGTTACCCATTCCCGTTATTCTCACTTTATGTCCCTAAAATAACTAACACAAGGTACCTAATCTAAAAATATTTTCATCGGGGTGACAACACATGCTGCGGGGGTTCCTCAGCAATATAAGTCAAATAAGGCAACCATGAGGGGGATGAAATACAGCGAATGAACACCCAAGTTCATTAACACCTACAGGTTATGAGCCTGCTAGCGTTCCACTGGACTGTCTAGAAGAGCCCGTGGTCGTCATCTAAATTCCGCTAGATGACTAGATCAAAACAACAACGAGGCCTCTCATCTGTTTATTACACACCAACTATCTACCCATGTTCTACCCAACATATTAGTAGATAAAAACATACATTTTTATACATATTTTCAAAACTTGTATAGCATGCTTGATCAATACATTTTCCATATAACAGATGAGGCACACACACATAACACGTATTTCATATAGAAATAATCAGATTTGTAAGGTAGAAGAAAGTGAAGATACATTCACACACATAACAACAAAATATACACATAACACGTATCTCGTATAAAATACTTCATAATTATACGTTAGGAGAAAGTAACAACACACTCACACATATAAACAACAATATACTTAATACACTCAAACCATACTTGTATTATTATTGCGTTTATGAAAGGTAGTATACACTCACTTGATCAGAAGATGATCGGACAGTACCACGACTTGCAAAAGTAGTAATCCTCAGCAGATCTGGAAGATCTCTACAAAAATTGAACTTCTCGCGGGCAGAGCTTCGGCTCGAAAACCGCACTTCTCGGGATCTTCGGGATCTCGGGAATATTACCGGGGCTTCGGGGTATTTCTGGCACGCAAAACGATGCAAAAGGGTAGAGAGAATGGAGAAAAATAGCAAAGAAACCGGCTGCCCTCGCATCCTATTTATAGGAGGCTGGGAGCCTCAATTACGCAGGGCGTATGCCTGTACGCGGGGCGTACGGGCGTCCGAAATCGTCATTGCATGCGTCATCCGAAGTGTCGACACTCTCGGCGTACGCGGGGCGTACTCCGGATGAGCCCGGTGACTCGCCTTCGGATAAGGCCGGAATTAATAATTAAATTTAATTATTAATTATTTAATAAACTTCAGAAATTCATATCTTCTTCATACGAACTCCGTTTTCGACGTTGTTTATATCCACGCGAAGGTGAAACTACACTCTACAACTTTCGTTTAAACTCCGTCGGCTAATTTTGAATTTATTTTTAATAGGCCGAGACAGAAAATTTCGTTATAAATTCATAACTTCTTCGTTTGACGTCAGTTCCCGCCTAACTTTTTATCGCTTTGATACTAACAATGAGATCTTTGATTCTCATTTAGATTATTAAGGCTAAATATCGCTCTAACGTAAATTGCACTTTTTACGTCATTCAGCGTTGCCGGTTCTGTCACGAAACTTCGACAGGTCATAACTTCTTCGTTATAACTCGGATTTCGGCATTCTTGATATCTTCGGAAACCTTGTTTCAACTACTACAACATTATCTAAAGATATCAAGTTTATTTTACACTTAAATTTTGACACTTATTTTTATTTTTAATTAATCAAATCACATAATTAAGCAATTAAGCACAAAACACATAATACTCAAATAATACCCTTCTATTATTTCAAAACGGGTTACAAAGGTTAACCTAGACTATCACATTGCTAAAAATGGCAAGCCCAGAAACACAGACGTTACAATTCTCCCCACCTTAGAATGATTCCGTCCCCGGAATCACACCTCAACAAACAAATGCGGATAGCGACCCATCATGTCACTCTCCGTCTCCCAGGTGAGATTCGGCCCATTCGTGTGTTTCCATCGGACAAGCACTAACTCGACCATCTTGCGTCGCAACTTCTTAGTCTTTCGGTCAACAATTGCCTCTGGTTCTTCAATCAATCTTTTGTTCTCATCGATTCTCAACTCCGAAAGTGGAATCATGTCGGGAACTTCCCCCGTGAACTTCCGTAAATAACACACATGAAAAGTGTTATGAATTCCATTCAGTTCTTCTGGTAGTTCGAGCTTGTAAGCTTGGTTCCCAATCCTATGAAGAACTTTAAACGGTCCAATAAACCTTGGACTCAACTTTCCCCTTTTACCAAATCTTATAAGTCCCTTCTACGACGAGACTTTAAGCAAAACTGAATCCCCAACTTCAAAAATCATCAGTCTTCGCTTTTTGTCAGCATAACTCTTTTGACGATCTTGAGCTGCTAACATTCTTTCCCTAATTATTTTCAACTTTTCAGCAGTTTGATGAACCATCTCCGGTCCCATAAACTGCTTTTCCCCAGCCTCAAGCCAACAAGACGGCGTACGACACTTTTGTCCA